GGGTTGGCATTGCAGGAGGCTTCATGCAGCAGGTGGTGTTTAAGCTCCCAACTAACAGGCAATACAAAGGACTATGTGCTACAACTCTTGGGGGAAGGGCTGAGCTGCAACTGGACTTTTCCTATCACACTCTGTAGCTCTTTTTACACCGGGCTTTCTGCCTTCTCTGGCACACAGCTCTGCCTGAGGGATCTCCGTATTTAGCACTGAATATAAATTATATCAGCGCTAAATACAAAAGAATTTCAGTTAAATATATGTGTTTCTATATAAACACAAAGTAAATACATGTTTTCTACTCAGGAAAACAACACATTAACAATTATTGATATATATTTTATGATGAAAAGTTATATACAGAGTGGACATAAAATTTGTGTGCAATTTACAATAGTTTACTATTTAAACTTAAAATTTCAGGGCAGGCTGGGCATCCGTAGATCAGTGGTTTAGGACACCAGCCACATACCGCAGCGCTAGTGGGTTGGAAGCAGGCCAGAGCCTAAACAAAACAAACAACAAAATAGCTTGGTGTTGTGGTGGGCACCTGTAGTCCCAGTTACTGGGGAGGCTGAGGCAGGAGAATCTCTTGATTCCAAGAGATGGATGTTCCTGTGAGCTGTGACACCATGGCACACTAATGAGTGTGATAAAGTGAGATTCTGTCTCCAAAAAACTAAATTAATTAATAAACTTGAAACTTCATAATTTCAGTTTTAATTAAAATACTTTACTATTTTCTAAGAGTAGAATGTGAACGTTTTAAAGCAATAACTGAGAAAATGACATGAAGGCTGTGTTGAGCAGTTTGATGGAAGTATTTCAGATTGCATGTGAAAACCCCACACTGTACCCCAGAAGTACATTAATGTACATAGTTACCATTCAATTAAAAAAAAATACTTTACTATTTATATTGCACATGAACTTTACATCCACACTATATTTAGAATTACCCAGATGGATTTCATATTTTTATTTTTTTATTTATTTTTCTTTTTGAGACACATTCTCACTTTGTTGCCCTCGGTAGAGGACCATGGTAACACAGTTCATAGTGAAATAAATCTCTTGGAGATTATTATTTTCTCTTAAGAGATCCTCTTGCTTCAATCTCCCAAGTAGCTGGGACTACAGGCACCCACCACAATGCCCGACTTTTTTTTTTAGAGACAGGTTCTCACTGTGACTCATGCTGGTCTCCAACCCATGAGCTTAGGCAATCCACCCACCTAGGCCCTCCAGAGTGCTAGGATTACAAGTGTGAGACACTGTGCCCAGCATTGGACTTGGTTTTAGATGACCCCAATTTGATGGGCAACATCCAAAGCATCATAATCCGCAGCCAGTGGAACATATGCTTTCTCTCCATCAGGCTTGATCTGGGTGTTCACCTTGGCCACATCAATGTCATAGAGCTTCTTCACAGCTTGTTTGATCTAGTGCTTGTTGGTTTGACATCCACAATGAACACTGCCGCCTCCCGGCAGGCGGCAGGTGGCGGCAGTTTGGGGAGTGGGCGCATGAAAGGGGATTGACAAATAAGACAAGACAGACACATTGGGAAAGGGACTGAGCTGAAGCTGTTTATTGTAATAGGTAGGGGTTTTTATAGGTTTTGTTAGTGGGAGAAGGAGGGGTACTTCTAGATTTGGTTATGTATGTAGTCCTGGTTTGTGATAGGCTAGTATTGTGAGGATGAAGTAGGAAGAAGGTGGAGAGTGATATGAGTAAATTTCTTTGGAATGTGTGCACGTGTTAAATCGCCTCTGGTCTTTTGTATGGTTTTTCTTCATCAGCAAGGTCGTTAGGCGCCTCCTTCTAAGATGTACTTTCACTTGAATGTGCTGTAATATAGTTGTTAACCCTTACAAGCACAAGTGTATTGTCTTCTCTCCTCTTCGTGGTAGACTCCGTGGTCAGGGAGAACTTGATGATGCACAGTGGCCAAGTTTGTTTCTCCTGGGATATGTGGGCTGCCCACCCAGGCACCACAGAGCCATCAGCCACCAGAATGTGGGTGATGTATGAATATTCTTTTTTGCGTGGCTGTGGTTGCTTTTTAGCACTGCCTTCTTGGCCTTTAATGCCTTTGCTTTGGGAGAGGTGGAAGCTTCCTTCTTTGCCTTGAGCACCATTTTGTGAAAAGCAACAATTATTTTAAAGTTTCAGACTGTTTAAAATTTGCCTGAACCACTGTTCTTTTGAGAGGGCAAAAATGGGAAGTACTCCCCTAAGTTAGCCTGTTCAGTAGAAAAGGGTCTACGTGTGGACATACACTTCACACACTGCTTGGTAGATCCCTATCTATCGTCCAGAAATCATACACTGAACAAAAATTAATGGGCCTCCAAGAAGGAACCTGAATACTTTGGTTACATAACTCTGCAAAGGATGGGATAGACACATAAGCAATGTGACTACTGTGACAGGACAGGGCAGGGTGGGTGTGAGATCTAGGTTTCTGAGAGGTACTCAAAGTCTGATAAATACATTGACCACCTCCAGGGATTAATGACCCCCACTAATAATCCAACTTTCCAGGCTTTGAGTCTCCAGATTTAACACAGATGAGCACAGCACCAGCCTCTTCTCTTCCTCTGGTCTGCACCTAGGAGCAGAGAATTTGCAGCTGAGCTGGGTAAGCAGGGATGTGGTGCCGGTAGCTCAGTAGGTAGGGTGCCAGCCATGTATACCAAGGTTGGTGGGTTTAAGCCCAGACTGGACTTCCTAAACAACAATGACAACTGAAACAATAAAATAGCCGTGTAGGGCGACGCCTGTGGCTCAATTAGTTCGGAGCTGGCCCCGTATACCGAGGTTGGCAAGTTCAAACCTGGCCAAACTGCAACAAAAAAGTAGCCAGATGTTGTGGCAGGTGCACGTAGTCCCAGCTACTCGGGAGGCTGAGGCAAGAGAATAGCTTAAGCCCAAGAGCTGGAG